AAGCTAGAGACTACAAAAAACCTTAAGGAGATCAATCTGTTTTGCTGATCAAAAAGCAGATTAAGACCATCATAAGGCATAAGTGTAACACTGTTGCTGGGATGTATTAGCAGGAGTGTCGTAAGCAAGACACAAGTAGTAATTATTCTAATCTGCTCTGTGTGGATTAGGCCTCAACTGGAGCATTGTGTCCAATTCTGGGCACCACCTTTTATGAAGTATGTGGGCAAATTGGAGAGAGCTCAGAAAAGTGTGACAAAAAACACAATTAAAGGTCTAGAAACCATATCCTATGAGGGAAGAATGAAAAAACTGGGCATGTTTAGTTTGGAAAAGAGAAGACGAAGGGGGGACATGAAAACAGTTTCAAATATTAAAAGGTTGTTACCAGGAGGAAGGGAAAATTATTTTCTCTCAACTTCTGATGATAGGACAAGAAATGATGGACTTAAATTGAAGCATGGGAGGTTTAGGTTGGATATTAGGAAAAATTTCCCAACAGTCAAGGCAGTTTAGCACTGGAATAAATTGCCAAGGGAGGTTGTGGAATTTACACAGGAGATGTTTAAGAGAAGGTTAGACAAACACCTGTCAGTAATAGTCTATACTTAGTTCTGCCATGAGTGCAAGGGACTCATTTTGTGATTCTATGATAAGTACCTTCACAGGAGAACATAGTGGGTATTAAAGGATGTTACATATTTAAGGCACTGTGTTTAAAAAAAACACACAGTAGTGCCCCAGTTAAATGTTTTAATTTCACAGAATATCTACACAGCTCCCCTCTGCCATCCCTACCCACACCACTGAAATTTTTCCAACAGCAGTGAGGGGAAAATGGGCATCCCTGCTGAGGCCAAAGGTGCTTTTGGGGGATTAATGGGCTGATCCCATCCCAGTGAGATGAGGAGAGTAATGCAGAGCAAGGAAAGGCGTTCACTGTGCACATGATGCTGGCTAGTCCAGTCTGCCATTGCTACTTTCTTCCCCAGCAAGTGGGGAGGGGAGTCGGTATTGACAAGTGTATGGCATTTAGAAGCCCCAAACTTGGCTTTGTCCTCCAGCAAGCCCATTGGTGACACGAGAGGAGCTGAAAACAGGATCTGCTGCTTTGAGCATAAGCAGATGTATTGGGAAGGCGGGGGGCCTAAGACAAGAAATGTGTCTCAAACTTGGATCAAGCATTCTTTCATTCCTTCGATGTAGAAGGGCTCCCTTACATACCTCGTGCTTCAAGTGGTGGATCCTGGTCTCAGCTCCTGTAGTGTCTCCTCTGGGTTTGGGGAGGTGGGTAACGTGGGCCAGGTCAGGGATTCAAATCACAGCGCTTTGTCAGTGCTGTCTACCTCTCCTTGGTGGTTGGCAGGAAGCAATAGGAGAGCAAGCTGAGCTTTGATTCTTTACCCAGGCCAGGCTAGACTAGACCAGACAGACACTGCTATGTTGTGAGAAACCTCCATCCCACAAGTAGCCAAATTAGGCAAATGCTCCAAGTTAGCTGCCTCCCCAATTCTCATTTCCACCTCCCTACTGTTGGAAAAATCACTGTATTGAGCTAATGCCACAATTTCTGTGAAGAATGAAATTATGGTTTCTGAGGGCCTTATGCATGCACAACGAGCATTTGCAAAATGTGAATGAAAAGCTCTGTGAGAGGAGAGGAAACCCTTGTTTTGTCTCACATCTTCTTAACGCTGGATATGTGGTGACAAAAAAAAGTAGACAGTTGTCCCCAAAACCTACAGCTCTCAAAAGGCTGATGTGACAAAATTGATTTGGGAAGGAATGAGCTGGGATGAAGTGAGGAGTCCATTTCATCCCAATTGAGTATGTTCTTCACTGGCTCTCTATCTTCACTGTGCACAAACTGGCTAGTTACAGCTGTTTGCTTAGGAACTGCTTGGGGAGAATGGTTTCATCTTGTTGAATATTCCTCTGTTCCTAAAAATCTAAAACAAGTGAAATATAAACAGCAGGATTGATCCACAAGATCTACACCACAGTGAGTGTTTCCCT